AGAAAATAATGAGGGATGTTGAATTGAGTCCTTGTTCCTTATCTGATAGTTTCCTTGTGTTTATCTGTTTCAACACTCCCCCTGCCCCCTTAAAGTAAAAGGAAGTTTCAATGATATAGGATCTAGGTAGCTGTAAAAGCTTGGTAGGTTCTGCTTCCCTCCTCTTTGGAGCTATTTTTGCTCTGATGTCTCTTAATGTACCTCTAATTATACTGGCCAGAGAAAAATCCATTTGGCCCTGACTTCTTTCAATTTCTTTTTGTAGAAACACTTTTATGCTTGGAAGCCATCTTCCCATGTGTTTCTTTACTTCACATCGTTTTGAACTTTTGAGTTGCCCAAATGGGGGCTGAGAGGAGAGACTGGCAAACCAGCCTAGAGAAACCCAGACAGAGTCCCAGAACTGAACAATAATGTCAGAACTGCTTCATTCCGGCTGCAGTACTCTGACTGGTAGATGTTTTCTTGCTTGTTGGGATATGCCGAAGGGGAATAACAGCAAAGCCAGGGTGGAAGACCAGTCAGCATGCTTATAACAATTGGCACATTCTCAAATGAAGACAATACAACTCAGCAGGAATACGTAACAGATGCCACAGAAGCAGGACAGTGATTGCCAATGCAGATGTCTCAGCTCTGACTTTACAGTCTTCATTGTATCTATGGCAGAGTATAAGTCTGATTTCCATTTTGACACTTTTTGTAAATCCCTATTCATACCAGTAAAAGAGCTAATCGTTTTATAGTCACAGTTTGGAAAATAAGCTAAGTGGGTTTGGAACATATTAAACAGTTACTATTCCCCATATTCTTCTCCAGCTCAGACTCAAAATGATGCTGGAGAGGCACTGAAGCCTCTTCTACCCAGTCACATATACTTCTCCAAGCCTTTCTTCTTTCTCCATCCAGTATAGGAAAGGGTTGGGAAAAGACCTCTTCCTTTTTTTCCCAGGACATTTGATCAAGGCTGTAGTGTTGGGTTAGCCATATTTTGCAGCATTCATTGCACCTTCTGTGCAACCAGGGCAGTGTGCCAGAATTAAAGGAGAAGGGGACTCCTTCTCTTTCCCTGCCATTGCTAGAAGAGCAACAGCACAAATTATGCAAATTGTGGGTGTGGGGTGGTGGTGGTGGTAGAGCAGATACAGATATCGCCAAAGATATTGATTCCTGCATCATCATGGACACCAAGAGTCCAAAATCGGCTCAACATTAGTCTGAAACAATAAAAAAAAATGTCAGAAACTTTTTCATGTGCTTTAAGAGGAAAGCCCAGGTCTCATTAGAATCAAAAGGCTCTCTGTCATGAGAATCAAAATAATTCAATTTATGGGGTTTTGTTTATGTTTTTCACTTCAGATCTGATCAGAATGGAACAGTAGAAGTTGCAGCATTCAGTTTCATTCTGTTTAATTTGCAGTCTAGAGATATGAGTTAATAATGCAGATTTAGCATGGTCATATGTGCTGATAAATTAGATAAAATATAGAAATGTAATGTTTTCTTGCTGCTCCATTATAAAATTGCACTGTTGACACTGATCAAGCAGTTCATGTAATGATGATGATTCAGAGGTATTACAAAGCAGATTTGATAAATGATAGAGTTCTTTTCATCTTATTTTTGTTGTGCTTGGATCCTTTGGTTATCAGCTTGCAAGCCGAACAGAGGGAGGCAATGAGTTCAGTGTGAACTGTACAGGAAGAATGAAAAATAAACATTGACACTTGTTATAGTCTTCTTGATGGTTGTTGGTTTGCAGCAGAGTTATAAATCTATTGGTCCCATCTCTTTTTCGTCACTTGACTGATCCTGTGCCGCTCTTTTTATGTGTAATAATTACTAACATCTGCTTTCTGATCTTGGACTGGGTAGAATTGCAGAAGCACTTTCTATTCAGAAGAATAGCAACAGCTGTTTTATTTAGCCCTGGGCAGCACTTCCTGTTCAGTCTACAGCTGTCTTCCTGTGTCCAATTTAGGTTTGAGACTTTCTTTCTTTCTTTCTTTCTTTCTTTCTTTCTTTCTTTCTTTCTTTCTTTCTTTCTTTCTTTCTTTCTTTCTTTCTTTCTTTCTATTACAACATGAAAGAAAACAAAATAATTAAGCCAGATTCCATTGAAGTGAATATCATTTGCAGCAGAAAATAGTAGTAATTAGTAATAGTCAAATATGCCTACTCAAAAGTGAGTTTCAGTCTTTTCAGTCTTGTTTCCTCTTGGATAAGTGTCTATAAGATTAGAATCTCAAGAATCAGGATACGATTGGTAAAAAAGTACTTGGCGTTTTTAGAACATGCCTCCAAGCATCAATGATACAGTATAATTTGTAACATGTTTTTCACACGTTACTTTCAAAGCCGTAGATTGTTAATGCTAGAGAATTTTGTTACATATATGTTGAGTTAAAACAACATGTTTGACCATCTTACTGGTAGGTGTAGGATATTGTGTCAACATGGTCAAAATGTTAGATTGGATCATTTCCAGATATCCTCCACTGTATCCCTTGGTTCATATGTAGTGGAACTACCTCCACAATTCATATACACACACATATCCTTTCTCCAGACACTTTCATGTACATACACACATACAAATGCAAGCACACACAGTCATATGTACTTCCCGCCAGTGATCTGAGATTTCATTTTTGTCTCTCCTTTCCTTGCTGCATTTTGATTGTGCTCCTCAGCTGTTTCAGCACTAATCAGCTGGACAACAGAAAGGAGGGAGATCTGTGTTGGGATATTCTTACAGAATCATAAAATCATAGAGTTGGAAGGGGGTAGTGAGGCCATGAAGTCAAATCCCCATCACTGTTCAGACCTGGTAATTGTTTTCATTGTTGAATTGTTCTTACTGTTCGAAGATTAATTTTTTAACATTCAACTGAAATCTTCATTTATGTAATTTAAGACCATTATTGTATATTCTGTACCACAGAATAACAAAGAAGAGACAAGCTACTTTTCTGTGGCATCTCTACTATCATATCCCCCACAGGAATATGACCAATTCCCATAGTCTCTCTTTGTAGGATTGTTTCCAGCCCCCAATCATCCTCATTCCCCTTTTATCTGAATTCTTCTTCAAATGTGGTATCCAGAAGTACACCATGTACTTTGGTGGAGTTTGACCAATGCAGAATATAGTGGAACCATTACTTTCCATTATTTGGAAACTGTACTTCCTTTGATGCAAATTAAAACTGTATTTGTGTTTTTGGCCAGCACCAACAGAGCCATGTTCAATATTTGCTTAACTACAATTACAATATCTTTTTTTGTGTGTCATATTCCTAAGCCAGGTATCCACCCCCATATACCTACATATTTGATTTATTTTTGTAAATGAAGCATGTTTCATTTGTCTTTATTAAATTTAATTCTGTTATTTTTAGTCCACTTTTCCAACTTCTCAGGCTTTATCAAATGCTGTTTCTATTGTCTATCCAAGTTTTGTCATCTGCACATTTAATACCATCCCCACTGACAGTATGATGCTGCCTAAGCCTTGAAATCATCTACAGAGGCCTGCTCCATGCTCCAAATCCCTACAGGAGGAAAACTGTACCTTTTTTCTGGTCCTATCAGAAGGAAGCTCTTGGCCTCTTACTTCTTGCCTTTGCTAAAAAGAAGAGCATCTTTCAACTTTTCAGGTGCTGCCTTTTAAAATCATGTCTTTCTTCTATTTAAAATATTTTTCAGGGCTGGATGCAGTAATAAATACCATAATAAACTATAGAATAGTAGAGTTGTAAGGGGTTCTTTAGATCTTAAGTCCAACTCATTGTTTAGCACAGAAATCTAAATGAAAGCAACTCCAGTCAATGGATGTCCAGCCTCTGGTTGAACATTTCATGGAAAGGAAAAGGAAGCTTATCACATTCTTTGATTAGAGTAATAATGAAATAAGAAATGTCATTCTAAAGAGACTTACATTTTTTAAATGTCAGGCATCAGTAGTCTGGTAAAACATATCCCCAGAGGTAATGACAGAAAATATGCAAGTCTGAGAACTGGAAAATTCAGTTAGTAAGATGTTCACAAGATGTGGAGCTACCACAGAAAACCACTACTCTCAGTCTTCTACTGCCTATCTTAAGAGCTGGCATGGATAAAGGAGATTTCTAATAATCCAACCCAAAAATCAGCTTTTTACATTTTGGTTAGAAATGTACCCCTGGCAATAGCACAATAAAGATACTACAGAAACTGACTGCTTGCTTCAAACCAGCACCATTTCTTGACAGCTGTGAAGTGTCTTGATTTTTAAGTGAGAGATTTTATTATATTTCATCTTCTAAGAAAACTTCTGTTCCCAAGTTTTTTAAAAAGTAGTTTTGCTATGATGTTTGTCAGGGGCTGCATACACATTCATTTTAATTTAACATTATTTAGCATACTATTCCTACAGTTGTCTCTTTGCTACACATTATTCCAAGACCTTATTTGAGCCAAAACCCATGAAGAGATTTACAGCAAAGTAGAAGAGAGGTATTTCCAAGTAGCATTCTGTATATCTTCTCCCTCTTCAGAGATAATCTATTGACACAGAGCTCTTGGGGAATAATTCAGAAGGCAAGATTGAACCCATTAAGTTTTCTGAATCTGAAATCATGCACATTTTTACATGGGGAAAAGAGGTTGGAGAAAAGTATTCTTTCCCTCCTCGTTGCACAGGCTGAAGGAGCTAATAAAAATGGCCTAAAGAATCAAGAAATATGATGCTAAGAACAGCTGAGAAGCACCCAACAATTCATTCTTTCAGCTGGGCAGCAAGAAAGGAGATGAATCAGCTGGAGAGAGGGCCCAAGCTTTCTATCTCTTCACAAATGCAAAAACTAGGAGAAAGGAAAAGGAACCTTATCTTTCCATTTCTGCAGCACTCAAGGTAGCTAATAGAAAATAATAAAATTTAGCCTATTAGCCAGCAGCTAACATCTAGTTAAAATGCATAAATAACAGCTAAATAATGATTAATCCAAATTTAAACCTGCCTGAAGAAGTCTTGGCTTCTTTCCCAAAAGTGGAGAGAGGAAGGCCTGTGTATAATTCCCAGCGAGCACATTTCATACCTGACAAGAGAAGGTGAGAGTCAAAAAATGTTTTACAGGTAAAGTCAGTTTACAAATATATCCTGATCTGTTCTGAATTTCTAAACACGAGCAGAACCCAGATAACCTTTCTGAATATTGGATTCAGATTAAAACAACATATATTCAGAGCAGAGCCCTAGAACTTTGAAAACTTTAAAAATGCCACCAGGTTTTTCACTGGTTTTAATGTTGAATGACTATATTTTAAGCTGATGCTGTTTTGTGGATTGTTTTCTATGATACTCATGTTCTAATTCCTATTCTGTAAATCTTTGAGAAGACCTCCCCCTAAAAGATTGAATTAAAATAACTTTTAAACTGAATGAAATTAATAAATCATATCATATTTCCTGAGGCTACAATTATATATCCACTGAACTGACAATATAATACACTGAACTCAGTGGCTATTGTCAAAAATCACAATAAACCATAACATAGTTTAATTAGTTGAAGCTTTGCTTGTTGAATGTCTAAATCTACCAATTTTGCCTGATTTAAAACTTAGTATTAGGAAAGAACCAGGCCACTATTCAACAATCCATAATTTAGTACATGAAATATTATATATGAACATAGAAATAAACCATCACTTAGTACAATATGTAAACTATGCCACAGAGATACTTTGATAGATATGTAAAGGATTGCACTGAATGTAATGGAAAATTCCCAGATCACATCTCTAGCAGAGATGCCATATGGTTGTAATAATCTGTTGGTGGTTTCTGAGATGTTTCTGATGTATGGCAGTGTGGGTTGTGTTGTAGTAGGTTGAGTGGATATATAATTGTAG